GCGTCGCGACACTGCCCTAATTCACTGCCAATGTTCATTGGTTTCTTTTGTTGTGGGCTTTGGTGATTTGTGGTAGTAGGTCGCGGTTGTGGTGGCTATTTGGTGTTGGTGGAGGCGCCGAATCTGTGTTGGTGCGTGGGTATTAAAAGGTGTCTTGGTGAAACGGTTTCGGCGAATTTGTTGTGCGAATTGTTGGCGGTGGTGCGAATCTGTGGTGCCAATCGTGGTACCGTACGGAGGCCCTCACTAGATTCGAGCTGTTCATAGGAAACTGGCCCTGTCACGAACCTGTGATTGGTGTGAATCTGTGACCAACAAATTTGAAAATATGTGACCAATGAAATTAACCATTTTTTTATCTGTGACCTCAAAATTATATAATCCGTGACCGTAAAAAATCTGTGATCAATTAATTTGGAAATCTATGACCGTGTAACCTATAAATTTTGATATGTGACTAACTAATTTTGAAATCTATGACCAATGAATTAAATGTGACCTATAAAATTTTTGAACTGTGACTATAAGATAATCCGTGGCGCATAAAAATTATTATTTGTAACTGAAAAATAATATGTGACTAATTAAATTATAAATCTGTGACCGGAATGATTGTCGAAATAGTCGTATTAATGGTCGTTGGAGAAGAGTGGTGGTCGCCGAAATAGTCCTCGGAGCGGTAGGAGTGGTGCATGTGGGGTGGGTTTATTGTATTATATTATATTAGAATAAAAAAAAAACTGATTTTAGAATTTTCAAACTATAAACATGATTTTTGAATTGGTGTAAACTAAACACGTTAGTTATGAATTTTTTCATTTCCTTCATTTTTAAGAGGAAATTACTCGGGGAAATTAGGCCAACTGCCCCAAAAAATTAAGAATTTTGAATAATACCTGTTGATTAATTAATGCATTTAATCACGTAATTAATACTTCTAAACTCCCAAAACCCTTGCGACATTTCGTTCAGAAGAGCATCATCAATGGCGAAACCTCTGGCACCCACGTGCGAGTTCTTTAGGAGGCGGGACGATTGGCGGAAGCACCCGATGATGACGAACCAGTGGCTCCACGCCACCCTCGATTTGGCTTCGCTCTTGTCGCTACCAGCAGGAGCACGAGCCGATGATTTTGCAACATTTTCTTCAGGTTCTGAACTTGACTTGCTCATAGAGAATATTTTTGACCTCATGTTGAAACTTTCACACTTTCTCTTTGCAAAACCACCCATTTGCTTTTCTACGGCAGGAAGTGCAAGTGAAGACATAGTTCTTCTGAGTAGAAGTTGTGATTCTTGATTGTTTAAAGCAACACCCAATAAAGCTCCCTCCTTCCTAGAGCAACAGCAAGGCTGACTCTATTTGAATCTGGGAGGACTCGATTTGGAAAACATTAAATTAGTCCTTGATTGATCCAGGTTGAGGTTTCCTTCTCCTGCACTTGCTGCCAGCTCAAAAGGAGTGGAACTTTCAACCACAGGATCAATACCAACACGGGAAAAGCTAGATCTAGTCTCAGGTTGAACACCATTATCAGGTTCTAAAGACAACTTCTCCAAGGATACAGAATAAGATCTTGCAGCGATGGAGTTGCATATAGCTGACACGGCAGAAACATGAGAATCTGATGAATCCATATCAATTAATTCATGCTCATCTTCAGAAGATTGAACCCTGTAGGTAGTTAATGATGAATTTCTATGAAGATCTTCTAAGCCCATATGCCCAGGACATGGCAAAAAGGATCCAGGTGGTCCAGGAATGGGTATCAGATTTTGTCACTTTTTTTGTCACCTTTTAAGTTTTTTGTCACTTTTTAAGAAGATAGAAAAATGAAATAATATGTTGTATTTTCCTAACATAATCAGCATGTGGGTTGGCCTGAACGTGATGATTATTTTAAAAACATGATTACTGGTGCTGCCCAAATTGATGATACTATTTGATATTTGTCACTTTTTTTTTTTATCACTTTTTTAAAAAAAGTAAAAAAGTGACATTTTTATAAAAAAAAAA